TGATTACCTCTGGTTTATAAATAATAAATTATGATGACAAGTGTCTTACCTAAAATTACAAATTTTATCAATTGATTTATATATCAGAGTTAAGATAAAATAATGACTATGACTGTGGCATTCTCAGAATGCAGTAAAATTATAGAACGTGTTTTTTAAATAAGTATATCAACAAAATGACAGATCTCAATAATGAGCATTCGTAGTATCTATCACCTTCAGCTGAAATATATTTGTAGGTTGTAATAGATGAATTTTGAGTAAGGTATCAAATACAAATTAAAGGAACTTTAATTGGGGAGGGGTATAAATTGTAAAATCATTTTATCCTTATATGTACAGTCTCTGGAAATTTAGGAATTAAGGGTGAAATTTTGAATAATATATAAAATTGTTTTTTGCCATGTTTTGGGCTATCAAGTTTCTTTATAATATCAATATGTATGAGGTAGTGCCATGTGCTGGGCACAAAGCTTGACACTGGTATGACTTTTAATAAAAAATAGTTTTGCCTTCTGGGAATTCATAGTGTGGTAGAAAGGTAAGAAAGATCAACCCATACATCATGATTGACACATGCAGTCCTAAAGGAATGGGTATAGGAATCAAGGGTGGCATTCTAAAAGAGGGAATGTCCAAAGTGGGTTTTGATAATGGAATACTAGTTTCCTAGTGTACCTAGTCTAGTAATGATACTAAATTGCAGTCCTAGAAGTTGTCATGTTAAGAGGACAAGGTTTTGTTTTGTTTCTGATGCCCCAAGCACCTGGAACAGTATACATTAAACATAATAGGTTCTCAATAAATGATTTTTGACGATTTATTCCCTTGAAGAATAAAATGATTATCTTCTGAGGTAAATTCAAGAAACTTAAATGAACACATCTTAAATATACGGTTTTATGGTTTACTTAGTATAGCAGTCTCCTATTTTATTTTTCCTTAGCGAACATCTATTCTTATAATTTGTAAACAGTTTGAGGTAAAGGACACTAATTTTGTTGATTATTTTTGTTTTATTTTGCTATTGTTTTAAAGGGATGGGAAATGGTAGATTGAACCCAGGGTAAAACAAACATGAGTCTGAGTTTCCTGTTTAGTGTATTAAACTTTTATATAAATAATCAACATTTTAAATATTAAACATAACAATATGTCATTTGGAATTTATGGAGAGATATTTGTTTGCTATGTGGAGCTCAAGAATGTCTTCTTTGTATAGAATCTAAGAGGATCAGGATGAGCAGACTCTGGACTTTCTAGGCAAAAAGGTGCCAGTCATGGAGCCAAACTAGCCATATATCTATATATATATTAAAAAAGAAGTTTGTTTGTTTGTTTAAGTATATACATTTTACCATGAGGTTTTTACATATACATGGCATGATTTTTACTATTGCTAAAAGTGAAATCTGTTAATTGAGAGTTAATGAAAGCAAAAATACTGGAAACAAAAATAGCTATTATAAACAAACTAGCAAGATTAGGAAAAAAGATTAAGCTAAAGGAGGATTATCACACAGGAAAAAACAGTGAGCAGACCAAAACACAGATAAGACCAGTGAATATATATCTTTATCAAGTAAGGATTTGAAAATAGATGCAACTACCTATTACAGAAATACCTTTTATTATGCATAATGTGAATTAATATATATTTGGAGGTAAATGCATCAAAAAATCTTACAGGACATCTGTGAAGTCTACCACTTTATGGGTGACACGTCACTACCATCTTGCCTTCGTGAAACAGAAGCCAGTATTCTTCAGAACTCTAAAACTAAACCAAGATTGGAGACACTTTTCTTTTTACCTAATTCTTAATCTTCAGTCCTTTCCTGCTACAATCAACTTAAAACATTAGCATAGAGAAGGAAATGGATTATATATCTTCTTTATGTGTTATAGATTATCCAGAAACCTCTTTTTTAGTGTCGTCTTTATTAATAATATAGCATTTTCAATTACTATATTTTTATTGCTTTTTATGAATCCTCTTATTCCTATCCTCTTTTATCTGTAATGTAGCTTCAAAAGGACTAACGGTATGTAATGCATGGCAAACATTAGGAAATTATTTTGATTTTAGTGCTAAACTTACTGAATACATGCAACTATACAATGATTCTATATAATTGAAATGCGTGTATATATATTTGAATTTACATTATTATTTGAATTTACATTATTAATCTCTTTTTTCCTTTTCTATTTTTGTTTCATTTTAGTTTTCAATACCTGTACCTTAAGGGAGGTTGTGTAGGATAATATGAAATGGTGTATATTTATAATTTTAAAAATTTAGTGTGTATACAGTTTCATTTTTCATGCTAAACTCATCTATGATGAGCAAGATTTATTCTTGCTTAGGGTACATTGAAAGGAGCATGTTGTAAATATTTTAGTGATTTGACTACAAACGTGTGCTTTATTTCATTGGTACTTTCTTTGTGTGTACTGACCACTGGAAATGGGAAAAGCAGACGTTCAATAAAATAGTCACAAAATATATACTAGTCTCATCCCTAAAATACCAGTAAAGTTATATATTTGGAAAGATGATTTTTTTTTTTAAACAACAGAGCTGTAAATGCAGAGTCTTAATTTGGTAGAATTGAATGTTTGTAGCCTTCTTTTTCTTCTTTTTGATTATAGGCCTCATTGTTTGAGATTTACATAAAACTTGACAACCATTTGAAAATCATGTGTTTGGTGGCAAACTTCACCTCATTTTGAGATGAATTTTTGGGAGCAGCAGTTTAACTTAGGAAATTTACAATTTTACCACAAATAAAGCCTAGATTTTCAGTCTATAAATTGTGTTTAGTTGTAGTTTAATGAAATTGTGAATTATAAAGGGGAAAAGGTATAAACAATTTAAGTATATACATTTTATCCATGAGCTTTTTTGACTGAAGATATAAAAATAGAATTCAGATCTTTTAATAGCCATGTGGCCTTTTAGATTGTGCATGAAAGAGTAAACATTGCTATATTTGTAAAATGTATCATGGAGGACAGAAGGCATTTGTTCTGAGACAAAAGACTTATTACATTTTAATAAATCTGATTTAAAAAGTTAATTCATAAATAATATTAGTTATAAAATGCGAAGGACACTTGATGTAAACTATTGCTATAAGCACCTTCTGAACTACTTAGATTATTGGAAGAACATTTAGGGAGTGGGAAAATACCTCATTTTGAAAAGAAATCTTTGAAAACAGAGAATTATTAATTTAATTTTAGTGGTAAATTATCATCAGTTTCTTAATAAAATCTGTCAGTATAGAGAATTCATCTATCTTGATAGATATTTCTGTTTTCTTAGGAGATATACTGGTACGTATGTGCATGAAAGTTATTGATCATTTCATATATGTTAAATAATCAGCAGTATCAAATGTTATCATCCAATAAGAAAGAAGATGTTTCTGTGTAGGTTACTTACTGCTGAGACAAGTTTAGTCACTGAGAAGAATGACAGCATTAAATTGTTTAATTAAAAAATTCTCTATGTTTTCCCTCAAAACCTATTTTACTAATATGGTATTCCCCATAATGTGTACTGTGTCTATTGAAATAATATTATATTTGTCTTTCTCTTGTCCTCCTAAGTTACACAATATACAATAATACTTACCAGGTAATGACCCTTGCCATTGTCCTTTAAATTCAGAAAATATCTTCGAGCAATATTTTTAAATTGAATTTTATCAAGGTGAAATAATATATTTTGCCTAACATAAATACTAATTAAAAAAATTGCTGTAATTACCTTAATTGCTGTTGATGAATGGGGCAAAAAGGAATACTTGCAGTCCAAACAGCTTTGTGCACAGTAGAAGATGTATTTGTTTTCTAATATTGTGTAAGAAATTACCACAAACCCAGCAGTTTAAAACAAACACACTTTATTTACTCTCAGTCAGAAATTGGGGGATTGTGTGAGTGGGTTCTTGCCCAGAGTTTTTGCAAAGTGTCGGCCAGACTCTATTCCTGTCTGGAGGTTGTTGAGGAGAGTCTGCTTTTAGGCTTGTTGGGGTTCCTTGAGGTTTTGGGACTGAGGTACCCATTTCCTTGCTAGCATTCAGCCTTAGACTGTCTTCAGCTCCTGGAGGCTTCCCGCATCCCTTGCAACATCAGCTCCTACCTTTTCAAAGCCAGCAACAAAGAATTTCCCTCCTGTTGAATCTCTCTCACACTTTGATTTTCTCTGAGCTAGGAAGGGCCCAGCTCCCTTTTTTTTTTTTATTTTTTTTATTTTAGCTGAGCCATCCTGCCACCTGTTGCAGCTCTGCAGCAGCTCAGCTCGGGCCGGGCATCGAACCGCTGTTGCTCAGAGCTCAAACTCTTGAGCGAGCTCTTAACCAACTGAGCCACTCGGCCGCACTCAGCTTCTTTTAAGAACTCTGCTTATTAGGCTAGTCCCGGGAGGATATTCTCCTTTTTGATTAACTCAAAATTATTAAAACTAATCATGATTAGAGGACTTTATTCATTATTTGTATTTTTAAAACTACAGTTATATCAAGTTTCTTTTTATTCTAATGACTCATATTTGATAAATTCTTGGGGATTAGGGTCTTAACTTTATTGTGATTTTAGAAATCCAAAAGGGTTGGTTGGCATCTCAGTAATTAGATTTAAAAGGACTAATTGGCTATGCTCTAGCAAGTATAAATATATACAGGTTTTTACTCAATAATGTTAAAATAACCTTTATCTCTGGATAAATTAATTGGCTATGTTCTGGCAAGTATACATATATACAGGTTTTTACTCAATAATGTTAAAATAATCTTTCTCTCTGGATAAATTATGAAAAAAGTGGTACTTGATTTATATTGTTTAAAGCATACCAAACACTTGTTTGGAGTACAATGTGAATGACTAAAAAACACAACAACAAAAAAAAACAAAAAGCCATTTATCTTGAAACCTATACTTTTTTGAAATATTTATTCTAAATATATGCTTATGTCTATGTTTTGTTTTAGGAGTACAAGATCCCCAGCATGAGAGAATTATTACTGTGTCTACTAATGGAAGTATTCACAGTCCCAAGTTTCCTCATACTTATCCGAGAAATATGGTCTTGGTATGGAGATTAGTAGCAGTAGAGGAAAATGTATGGATACAACTTACATTTGATGAAAGATTTGGGCTTGAAGACCCAGAAGATGACATATGCAAGTAGGTTATCATGCTTGAAATTCCAACAGAGCATAACAACTGTTATAGTCTTTCAAGTTGCTTCATTTTGAGGATATGATTTTAAATGGTATCTTTTGTTCTGTTATTTTTTCTGGTGGTCCGAGAAATTTACAGTCTTATTATTTATGCTATGTTTCATTTAAAGTCTTTGTTTAAAATTAGAAGGCACATACATGTACATACACAGTTATTAGTTTCTACTTCTGAAAATGATTTGAGGTAATTTATGGTTAAAAAAATACTTAGAGAGTAAAACAATTTAAAATAAGAAATAGAGAATAAAAAGCCAGGTAAAGGAATGCAGTTGTACTAGAAAACCTAAGTTACCTTTAGTGCTAAAAATTTTACATTTGAGCCACCTGATATTTATTAAATCAATAAAATAAACAATATGCTATTAAAAGAAAAAGCAGCATCCATGGATACATATTACCTATAGTTTCCAGTATTCATAAGTACACATATGGATACGTAAACACACATAGGACCAAGAAGCTTGAATATTTCATTGCAAAAAAAAACACAAAAATACAGTTCTGAAAGCAGAATTACAAATTTAGGTTAACATTATGGCTGGTCAGGTAGAAATTTATCATAATTCTCTTAGAAGCATTCATGAAGTAAAGTCAGCTGGAGTATTTCACCCATGCCAAAGACCACCTACTGTATGCCATACAAACATTACTCTTTAAACCCTATGTGAATACACTTGTCAAGGTTGGGTGGTCTTATTGAAGATTTTTCACTTCAGTGGCATTTGTATATCATAAAAGTATTTTACTTGAGCTCCTTTGTGGGGTTCTTTATTTTTCCTTTGATATACAAGTTAAAGGGGAATTTTTATTTTATGGTATATTCGAGATAAATATTTCAGTGCAGATGAAATAAACTTTGTACGGGCTGTCATCACAATTTGTACCTTTAACTTTAATATAGTTAAGCTTTTTTCACATTGCTTCTTTCTGCAACTATGCAGTTCATCTAGAATTTTAGGCTTAGAGAACAGAAGCTGTCCTAGCTATCCAGAGAGAATTAAAGTAGCGACTCTAGACCTCACTCATATTTTATACTTAAACAATAGCTAAAACCCATTTGTCCTAACATTCATATAGGTAGTTTTTCACCATGCTATATATTACACCACTTGTCTTCTTTTCATATGTAAGATTCTATAATCTTATAAAAAAATGTTGAAAGGTTTGAGACTTTGTCCTACTTGCAAAGTAGCAAGTTAGCCCACCATTTCATGGATGCTGATCACAGACGGGAGATGCTTCGGTCAGAGACAAAAGACTGTATTACACAACAGCAGTAGCCAGAGTGTTAGCACTTTCCTGTGCCTCTTCCCCTAGTTCCAGTTCCCACAGGTGAATGCCAAGAGGGTCACCTGACACCTGAACACCTAGTGGGATGTGTTGTAGGAGAGGAAGTAGTATAGGTATGTGCATATATGAACATCGTCATGTGTGTATGTATATAATGTATGTTCATAGTTAAATGATAAAAATTAAAGTATCATCCAGTATGCTTCACCTAGATGGTGACTCCACTTCACACAATTTGATACTCAACTTAAGAAAAGTGACTCTTCCAACAGTTAGTTCTGAAATCCCTTCCCTTTGTTCTTCCCTGATTACACCCTCTTCTTGTCCCTGGAAATTTATTCATCATCTTAAGTTTTGTTTTGTTTGTTTGTTTGTTTCTCCATCCCCTGGTTTTCTCTATAATTTTAGCACATATAAATTTAACACTCATTTCTCTATGTACTGTCCTATAAAAAATAAATGATTTTTGCCTGTTTTGCGATATGTATAAATGAAATAATACTATGTGTTTACTTTTGTGACAGTGTGCATTTGAAAACAAGCAAAACTAAACAATATGATGTTTTTTAAAGTTAGTTCATGTTGAAGCAGATAGCATAGATTTTTTGGTTTCCCTGATGTATATATAAATAGTCAACCTTTTTTGTCTGTTATAGCTTGATGAATGTTTGGATTTTTTCCAATTCTCCTTGTCCAAAATGCAAGAAAAAAATTTTTGAGTCTATCTGAGAATGGTTTTGCTGTCTCATATTTATATTTTCAACTTTACTAGGTAGAATTAAAGTGATTTGAAAAGTGAAAAATTTACACTTTTACCAACAATATACAAAAATTTCTGTTGCACCACATTCCCAACAACCTTTTGACTGGTCATTCTTTTTATTTTTTTTGGTAGTATGGTAAGTGTAAAATTGCACCTCAATATTAATTTTTACTTTTTCCTGATTACTAATGAGGCTGAGATATTTTCATATTATTATTGGCTACTCATATCTCCTCTTCTGTGCAATACCTGCTCATGTCTTTTGCCCAGATGTTACTGGATTGCTTGGCTATTTAAGTTTTGCTTTTCATATTTAAATCTTTGATCCAATTGTATTTAATTTTTGTCTATGGTGTGAGGTATCTAATAATATCCCCACATCATTTATTGAATCGTCATTCTTTGCCACAGTGATGCACAAAGCCAGCCAACTTGAAGGTCAGATTTCTGTGTGTGATCTGGTCTGTTTATGGGCTCTCTGTTCTGTTCTTTCCATCAGTTGTGCTTATCTGTGTAGCAAAATTGCAGTCTTAATTACTGTAGCATTATGTAATAGGGAAATATTGCCTCGTTTTCTCATTACCTCATAAGGAAACATTATCTTATTTTCTTTTTTTGTAGCATCCTTGCACTTTTTAACATATTTTTGAGAAATAGGTTGTCAGGTTCCTTGAAAACTCCCATTGTGATTTTTATTGCAGTAGCATTGACTGTGTAGATCATTTGGAGAGAACTGACATCCTTATAGCGATGACTTTTCCTATCCTTGAGCACTTTGTTTCTCCATTTATTGGTCTTTTTTTATTGTCAATACAATTTAAAAATATTCTTTATGAAAATGTTATGCATTGTTACTTAGATTTATTTTTATATTCTTTATAGATTGTTGCTAAAATCCTTTTTTGAAAATTACATTTCTAATTGTGTATTGCTAGTATATAGAAATGCAATCAATTTTTAGTATTGATCTTATAGCTGGCAAACCGACTAAGCTTTTTTATTTATTTTAATTCTGGGAATTACATGGGATTTATGCAAAAAATCATATGGTTGTGAAAAAATATTTATGTCTTCCATTCAGCTCTTTAACTCTGTCTTGTCTATCTCTTATTAAGCTATTGTTTGTGTTAGTAGGTATTGCTGTCTTCTTGTTGATTTTAGAGTTTCCTTTAAAAAAATTAACTTTAAAATATGGAATAACTAGATGTACAGAATGTTCCAAAAATAGTACAGAGCATTTTCACATACTCTTAACCCAGGTTTCTCCAATATTGTCATCTTATATAAATAACCATGGCACATGTGCATAACTAAGAAATTACCATTTACACAATATTAAGATAAACCACAGACTTAACTTAAATGTCAGCAGTTTTTCCACTTTATGTCCTTTCTCTGTTTGAGGATACTTTCCAGGATAAGCATATTGCATCGACTCATCCTGCCTCCTTAGTCTCCCACAACTGGGACCGTTTTTCTCTTTCCTTTTATTTCATGCCCTTGACAGCTTTGAAGAATATTGGCCAGGTATTTTGTAGAATGTCCCTCAATTTAGGCTATTCAGATGTTTTCTCATGATTACACTGAGGTTGTGGGTTTTGGAAAGGATCCCAAATAGGTAATATGGCCTTCTCGTCTTATCATATCAGAAGGTACATACTGTCAACCTCACTTAGCACTGATGATGTTAACCATGATAACTTGGAGTTTCTCCTCTGGCAAGGTAATACATATCCCTTTATATGCTATTGTTTGGAGGCATGCAACTAAGTTCAGCCCACATTCAAGTAGATAATGATTAAGTTCCATCTGCTGGAGAGGGGAATATATACATATATTGTTTGGAATTCTTTAGTGAAGAACATGTGTGCCTTCTCTTTTCTTTCTCCCGTTCTTCCTCCCATCCTATCTTCATCCTTTCTCTCCTTTCTCCCTTCTATCATTTATACCAGTGTGGACTTATGGATGTTTATTTTATTCCTTGTTTTATTGGGTTGTCGGAAAAGTCATGACGTGTTATTTCTATGTTTTTCATTGTAAAAGCATGTCATGACTTTTCCGAACCCAATATAATCCAACGCTGTCATAATTTACATTGTTCTTGAAATTGTTCCATCTCTGGCCACTGGGAGTAATGGGTTTGATGTTAACAAATCAATTTTGAGTGTGATGATTGATGAAGATTTTTTTTTCTTTATTATTTGAAGTACTTCCTTTTTTACTTTGCTAGGAGGCATTTTTCCCCTTTGGGAAAATGTTTTGATTCTTTTAATTTTTGCATTTAAAAATAAGGTGCTGTCATAATGGCACTCTATGCCTCACCATGTATCACCTAAGAACAAGGACAGTTCCTATACAATTTCAATACCATTTTCATATACAAGAAATTTCACATTAATATGAAACTATTACCTAGTATATAGCTGATTTTCCAATGTTTTCTATGATCTCAACATGTTATCACTTCTTTATTTTTTATTATTATGTTTTGATTCTGTAATAAATCACTTATTATAGTACAATCATGATTAGGTCCTGCTTCCAAATTTTGGCCCAAATGTTCTCTAGGTGATGGGGCCTTATGATTGCTCATAATATCAGTTTATTGCATTATCAGAGACATGAGCTTGCTTTCTCAATCCTGTTTCAGCATCCTGCCAATTTTGATAATGCGGTATTTCTATTTTTGTCCACTTAAAGATTTTTATATCTATTGTTTCCTTCTTTTAAACCATAACCCATAAAGGAGCATATTGTTCATTTTCTATGTAAATATATAAGGGTTTTAAATGCATTTTTATTATAGATTTCTAAATTAATTGCATTTTTGACATAGCTTTCTGTCTGTGATTGCTTGAAATTTCAGATTTGGCTTCATTTGCTTCAGATCT